GGGCCGAATTAAACTGCCCCGCGAGGGAAAAGCGGCAGCGAGAGGAGACGGAGACGCGCCCCGAAGAAGGGGACCGGGCGAGGCCAGCGATCGCCCCGCCAGATCCCCTCCGGGAAGTCCGCTGCGGGGAAGAGGGGAGCAAAGGCGTTCAGCCGGGAGGGGTCCCACGCAAGGAAATGTGGCACCAAGGCATTTGGAAAGCCATTTGGAGAGCCACCGGCTGTGAAACTGGGCCCAGGAAATTTTCTGTGCACACAGGAAAGAGTTTTACAAGAAAAGAATTTATTTTTTTGCCATTATACACAAGCACGTAGGCCTAAGGAAGGGCATGTTCAATACTCTCAACTATATTGCTTGGAAAAACGTTAGAAATGAATTTTAGGGGCTTTTTAAATTTATGGCATCATCAAAAACATTGTCAGTGAAATACGAATAGAAAATGGGTTTCATATATGGGCAATGTTGTCAAAATTAATGTAACAAAAAACAACCCCTTTACCCATGCAGTTTAACCAAGGTTCAAAAACTTTCTCTTCTCAAAAAAAAAAAGCAGCAGCAGCAGCAGCAAAAACACTCGCTGGGGTCTTCAGGAATTCTGGCGTATTTGGTAGAGAAATAATAGTCAGCTCAGTATTGTAGCCTCAGTGGGAAAGATTAGGATGAATTACATTTTACAGCTGCTGCTACTGCCCTAAAACTGTTTTGGCTCCAAGTGAAATGCACATGGAGTGAAGAAAATACTCTTGTCTATTGCAAACGCAGGCTCGGTACCAATTCCGCAGAAAGCAGCAGTTTGAGACACAATCTGTGTTTTGCACGTGCCCAGAAAACACAAATTGTTTTCAGTCAAATTGCCAATGTTAAAGGAAGCACTGGAGATGTACACTGAAGCCAAGCGAAAGCTAGGCCTGCTAGTTTCTTACAGACGCTTCTGGACGGGCTCCCAGCCGAAAGACACTTTCCCCTCAGTGCCACGCCAAGATGTTTCAGAATACAAAGAATTACAGTCATATGCAGTGATGGTGTTTCAAACGCAAGAGCCAGGGAGAGGGTGGAAAGCATGAACATCATGCCCCACCCGAGATTTCCCTCTCCAGTTATTGAGCATTTTGAGATCTAGTCTGGAACCAAACAGCCATTTTATAAGGAAATGTTTTCATTACAAACCTGTACGGGTGCATATTCTCATCAATACTTACCTCTCTTTCTGCCTTAAATTAAATATGGGTTTTATAACTTTACCATCTAAGCAGTTTAAATTTTTCTAAATATGTAGCATGGGCAGAGCCATGCAATGATTTCCTGAGAAGCTGTAATCACTTACTGGTTGAAAAAGTCTTTATGATACTGCAGGCTCTCCTTCTTAATATAAAAATCATGAGATCAGCTGAAAAATTAATGCTCCTGTCAGTATAAATAACACATCCTTCATTACTGATTATCAAATTCTCTAGCAAATTTGCTCTATTCTTAGATCTAACAAGGCAAAACAGTTAATACAACAAATATTCAATAACTTCATTCCAGTAGCAAAACACTGTTACCCAAATTATCAACAGCCACCAAATTTTCTACTCCCTGGCCCTTTTCCGAGCAACAGCAGAACCACCTCAGGGGCTCTCGCTATAAAAATACCAATGTTCATTTTAAAATACAACCAAAGCAGCAGAACTTTCCTTAGAAAATAAACACAATGTCTTCTTTTGTTTACCTGTTTAAAAGTGTGGCACTTTTTTTTTGTCTAAACCCTGAGGGGAAAAGTTAATACAATTCAAAAATTCTTTTCTCTCAAAATACATACTGCAGGTGATTTTTATAAAATATTTTTTCTTTTTAAAAAGGTAACTTGTGAAGTTACTGTCTACAAGCTCTCTGTAAAGGAAGAAAAGAAACCTTAAAAAGGGAAAGAACCACCTAATTTTCCAAGAACAAAGGTTCATAAAATCCACTCTGAATACTTGCTAGTGACGGGTGGGACGCCATTTGCCATCGCGGTAGCTCCGGCTGTCATAATTCTGACTCCAGCCTCCGTAGTTTCTGTCCTCGGGGCCATAATCCTCCCGGTTCCCACAGAAGTGATAATCTGAGCCATAGTCCGCAAGCCGCTTCTGCTCCTGGCTGTGGTGCCTGTGGCCAGACTGGTACGGGTAGGAGCTCACCCGGCCCTTGCGCAGAGCCGATCCTGTCTCTGATCGCCACTGCGCTGTTGAGGCCGAGGACTGGGGGAAGGTGTAACTCCGCTGGGACCCGGGCAAAGGCTCGGGAGGTGAAGAGCTGTGCCTTCCACTGTGTGATGAGAGCTGCTGCCAGGTGAAAGTCATCTGGACAGAGAGGGAACAGGCTCCAGTTACAAGGAACCATGGGCTTCCGCAACGGGGTCTCGTAGCGGAGGGCTCTGCTGCCAAGAAGGGTTCCCAGGGCAGGGGCCGGCTCTGTTGAACCCCCAGGTCCACCCCACTCCCCCCAGCTGGGAGTGGCAGGAAGGTTTCTCAGCCCTGGACTACAACCCTGCTGAAAGTGCAGAGAGGGAAGTATTCTCTCCTAAGCAAAAAGGCAGCTGGAGAAAATGGCGCTCCCCCTTGGAACTTCCCAGAGATCTTGACTTCTAGAGGGAACCAACAAGGCGGATGCCTGAGAGAGACAAAGTTGCAGGAAGTGCTGTGAAGGGACAATGGGGGGCACCAAAGTGCACTTTTCATTCTTTACTTAGCCTACCTATAAAGCGTACAAAGAATTCCACTGGAGCCGTTCATAAAATCTTTGGGGGGCAGTGATCAAACAGGGAAGGAAGAAAATAATGCTTAGCACGTGAAAAGAGGGCAAATGCTTAGGAAAGCTTGTGGGCCGCTGAATTGTCAAGCACTACTAGTGCTGTTATTTGATGCAACTGCAGCACAAAATACATGACTGATGTTGCAGAAATTCTGCATATAAGAAAAGAAGGCTGCCCCCAGTGGAAAGTACAGGCTTACCCCCCATATGCAACCCACCAAGAGATCTGTGCTGCTCTCTTCCAATCAACACAGGGGAGAATACTCACCACAGCTTTTTTTTTAAGGTTATCTACAGATAAGAAGGATCTCTGACCAGCTGACAACCCTGACAACACATTCTCAGTGTTCCTCTCATACCTGTTAAGCCAAGGGCAGAAATTAGCTGTACTAATCTTAATGCATGTGGCATTCAATCTTATCTTTTTCCAAGCAAGGAACCACATTCATTATTACACTAATTTTCATACATGAGACCTCTAACAATTCAATCCTATTAATGTCATGTCTCTAAAGCTTTTACAGCAATCTCCATTTATCAAAACTGAGCAAATGTGTTGATGCATGTTATTATTTTTATTATTATTATTTATTGGATTTCTCCCCCGCCCATCTT